TATGCTGATTCGCTATGTGTAGCAGATTTCTGTGGGCTCTCTGCTCTGCTCCACGGCTTGTTTCTTCAAGAACCAGGGCTGTGCTGCTCAGTGCCTGGTGTTTTAGAACAGGTTTAATAACCTGCGGAGCAGGCTCCCTCATGCCCTCCCCAAAGGCTCTTCTTTCTAGACTGTTTCAGGCTGTGCCTTTTGTTGTTTGTTATTTTCCCTTTTGAATTTCAGAATCAACAAAGAAAGAAGGGAAAAAACATCCGTTGGCATTTTTGTCACTTAAAATAGATAGACAGAAGGCCCTGAGCCGTAATGTGAGCTAACTGATGTCCCCGTAGGACCTCCAAACAAACCAAACTCACTGCCACCCAGTCGATCCGACTCACAGCAACCCCTCCTTGGGTTTCCGAGGCAGGATCACTATGGAAATAGACTGCCCCATCTTCCTTTGAGGTTTAAACCGCCAGCCTTCTGGTTAGCAGTCAAGTGCTTTGGGCACTACGCCACCAGAGCAGGTCCTCCAGGAAGTGGCTTTCCTCTCTCTCTCGGGGGCACAGTGGTCAGGGCGAATGGTGATAAATCAGTGTCCCTAGGACAGGCGCCAGTGCACAGGTCCATGTGGCCTGGCTTCAGCCTCTGGGTAAAGAACGTAGAGATGAGGCCTTCCCAGAACGAGGCTCGGAGAGCAGCAGGAGGGCTGTGCCTGCGCTGGGGGCCGGGGCCTCTCCTCCACGAAGCAGAGCGGTCTGCTACCTACTTCCCAAAGGTAAAAATCGTCCACAGAACACCCCGTGGAGCCCAGTTCTGCTCTGACACACAGGGGTCCCCATGAGTCGGGGGCCCTGTGAGTGAGTTGGAGTCCCTGTGAGTCGGGGTCCCCATGATTCGGGGTTCCCATGACTCGAGGTCCCCATAAGTGAGTCAGGGACCCCATGAGTGAGTCAGGGTCTGTGTGACTCGGGGCCCCCATAAGTGAGTCGGGGCCCCCATGAGTGAGTCGGGGTCCCCATGAGTGAGTTGGACTCCCCGTGAGTCGGGGTCCCCATGATTCGGGGTCCCCATGACTCGAGGTCCCCATAAGTGAGTCCGGGTCCCCATGAGTAAGTTGGAGTCCCTGTGAGTCGGGGTCCTCATGAGTCAGGGTCCTCATGAGTCAGGGTCCCCATGAGTGAGTTGGAGTC